CCCAGTATGTGATCGATCCTGGAGAATGATCCGTGTGCGCTTGAGAAAAATGTGTACTCCGTTTTTTTGGGGTTTAGTGTTCTATAGATGTCTGTTAAGCCTAATTGCTCTAGGTCCTTATTTAGAGCTTTGGTTTCTTTACTTATTTTTTGTCTTGTTGATCTATCCATTGTTGATAGTGGTGTGTTGAAGTCTCCCACTACGTATGTGTTTTCTCTGATGTCTGTTTTCAGAGAGGACAACAGTTGTCTGATATATTTTGGTGCTCCTTCATTTGGTGAGTATATGTTAATGAGTGTTATTTCTTCTTGAAGTATTGTCCCCTTGATCATAATGTAGTGACCATTGGGGTCTCTTTTTATCTTTTTGAGTTTGAAATCTGTTTTATCTGATATAAGTATAGCTGTTCCTGCTTTCTTTTTTGGTCCATTTGCTTGTAGGATTGTTTTCCATCCTTTAACTTTGAGCCTATTTTTATCTTTTGTAGCTAAATGTGTTTCCTGGAGACAGCAAAAGGTTGGGTTTTGTTTCTTAATCCAGGCTGCCACTCTGTGTCTTTTTATTGAAGAGTTTAGTCCATTTACATTTAGAGTTAATATTGATATGTTAACATCTGTATTTGCCATTGTGTTTGTCTTTCCTTTGATTTTATTTATTTATTCTTTTAATAACTTTTTTTTTTTTTTTGGCCTTCTTTCATTGTTATTCGTCCCTCTGAGGTTCTGGCTTTAGGACTCCTTGTAGTATTTTTTGGAGTGGGGGTTTAGTTGCAATGAAATTCCAGAGTTTCTGTTTGTCTGGGAAGGTCCATATTCTTTCTTCAAAGAGTAAGGAGAGCTTTGCGGGATAGAGTATTCTTGGTTGGCATCTGTTTTCTTGGAGTCTGTTGACTATGTCCCTCCACTCTCTCCTTGCCCGTAGTGTTTCTTCAGAGAAGTCTGATGTCAGCCTGATTGGTTTTCCTTTGAATGTTATCTGTTTCTTCCCTCTTGCCAGCTTCATTATTTTTTCCTTGTCCTGGATTCTTGGGAGCTTTACTATTATGTGTCTTGCTGTATTTTTCCTTTCGTCGTGGAAGTTTGGTGTTCTTCTTGCTTCTTGTATATCAATTTTCAGCTCCTTCTTCACATTTGGGAAGTTCTCTTCAATTATCTCTTTGAATATTTTCTCTGTTCCTACATCTCTCTCCTCTCCTTCTGGTATTCCTATAACTCTTATATTTCCTTTCCTCATGGAGTCAGATAGTTCCCGAAGTCTTTCTTCGTTCTTTTTCCTTCGTACTTCTCTTTCCTTTTCTGTTTTGGTTCTTTTTATTTCTGTGTCTTCAAGATTACTTATTCGTTCTTCCATTTCATCTATTCTGCTTTCATTGCTTTTCCCAGAATTCTTTAGTTCTTCCATTAATTCTTTGATCTCCTGCATTTCTTTTACTTCCCTCTTTAGGGACTCAATTTCTTTCTTCTGACCATTGTTTTCCCTCTCTAGGGACTCAATTGCATTCTTCTGATCGTTGATTATTTTTCCCTTATCATTGTTTTCCTTTATGACTTCTGTCAGTTTTTTAATCACGGCAATTTTAAATTCTCTTTCTGGAAGGCTCAGAAATTCTTCCAAGTTATTGTCTTTGCAATCTGGGGGCTGGCTTTCTTTTTGTGGTGTGCTTTTTCTCTGGAGAGTTGCTAGGTTGCGTGTGGTTCTTCTCCTCCCTACTGTCTGTTTTCTAATTTGCCGTATGCGTTGGGCCACTGTGTTGTTGGGACTGGCCGGCATCTTGGGTGGGCTTCTCTGTTCCCCTCTGGTTCTTCCAGGAGTCATCTGTCAGTTTCAAGCAGCCTTTAATGGAGAAAGGTCCCTGTTCTAAAATGCCGATGTGGGGACACACTCCCCTGTGCGCCTGGTCTGCCCCGGCGGTGGGTTCCTGCTCCCCTCTGGGCTTGGACTGCAGGCCAGAGGGGGTCTGGCGTGGGCGAACTTCCCCCGCTCACCTCTGGCTCCTGAGGAAGCCTTCTGCAGGTAGTCTTTACTGAAGAAATGTCCCTGTTCTAAAATGGTGATGTGGGACACACTCCCTGCGCGTCTGGTCTCAGGCACACTCTTCTGCACGCCTGGTCTGCCCCCGCTGTGGGTGCTCGCTCTCCCTGTGGGCTCAGACTACTTGTTCGGAAGGAGCCAGGTGTGGGCTAACTCCCCAGCTGGCCACTAGCTCCTTCAGTAGCCTGTGCTGGGGTCAAGTCGCTAGGTGGCGCCAGAGATCTCTCCTGGAGCCCTTGGGGAGCTGATTTTCCACCCCGTGGGACAGGGAGCAGAGCGGGGATGGTAGGGTACACCTCAACGGCTTTGGGGTGCTGTGTCTGCCTTGTGCCCCACCGTCGTGGGGAACCCACGCCCCTAATTTCGTGCCCCGGGTCTCAGTTCCAAAGCCCTCAGTTCCAGGACGCGGGCTGTAGCCCAGATCAGTGGCGCGGGAATGGCGCCTTTTGAATCCCGCTCCCCTGCCTGGGCGCCTTGTTCCTGCTCACTCAGGGAGGGCCTCCGCCGTCTCCCCGCAAGCCTAGGTCGCAGGCGTGGGGACCTGGGCAGCTGCGATCCGGTCTGGATCCGCGCCACTTTCTGCGCAAGCTTACCGGGCGGCCGGGGCTGTGTGCTGGTGCTGGTCTCCTCCTGGGGGGCGGGGCTCTCTTTAATGGCACCTGGAGCTCACCTCCGTGGCGGATCCTGCAGGGTTCGCCTCAGCTCCCGTTCACGGGGTGTGGTGGCTGCAATAGTTCCTTTCCACTCACAGTCCCGCTTGCTGTGTCCATTTTTCTTGTTGGCCGTTTTGGTTTGTTGTTTCCTCCTCTCTGCCGGTCGGAGAGTGCCGCCTCTGTGGGCGGGGGAGGGGAGCAGGGTTCTGCGCTTCCCTCCCTTCTCGTCCTCTTTTATGGCTACTTTCTTCTTCGGGCAGTTTGCTGGAGTCGTCCGTTTATCTTCCGTGTCCCAGTTCTCACTGGGACCTGCCGCTTTTCCTCCCTATTAACTTTTTTTAATGGGAGATCTTACTCGCAGCGTCTCCTCGCCGCCATGTTGCTCCGCCTCTGTAATTGATTTTTAAATGAACTCTAAGGTCTCAACTGTGTACCAATTCCCAGGCACAGGGGAGCGGCAGGGCCTCTAGCCTGTGAAGCAAACCTCAGCCTTCTTTCTTCCTAAATTAGTTCATTAAGTTGACAATAAATGGAGGCCACCTTTCTAACATCTTTCCTCCCTGAGGAAGGCTTTGTGGTGAAGTGGGAGGCAGTGAGATGCCCCCCCAGGTAATCCTGTCTGATGGTCAATAAGGACATGTCCTGAAATCTGACAGGACGTGAATATTTGTTCTGCCTCTGAAAGAATATTTATGTACTTTCTGAAGTGTGACCAGGACACAACTCAAAAGTGTCAGGTGTTTCCTCTCTGTGAATATTAAGCAGCAGTTTTACCACCTTGTATTACATCCCAGAACCATGTAGCTGATGTGAGCTTGCAAATGGTGGGCACTGAAGCAAAAGTAAAATGTTCTTAATGAATGATTTTCTCTCAGGACCCAGGCAAGCACCAGAGAAACAACCAAGGGCTCTCTACCAGGCAGGTTAGACCCACAGGGAATGAAGGAGCCCAGGTGAAGTCACAGGACCATACATTTACAGTCAACTAAATTGAGTTACCAAGTAGAAGTTCCTTTCCCTCTCTGAAGCCTTGGTTTCACAGAATGGACTAAATATAATGCCGACCATCTTTGTTCATTTTCAAAGTGCCAGACTCTATATGAGGGATGGATGATATTGTGGGGAACAAGACACACATTGTCTCTGCCCACGTGGAGTTTACATTACAGCAAGGGAGACATATATTAAATACATACAGATTTCCTCCACCATCCAAAAGTAGAGCAGTTCCTCTGGAATATTTAATAAGCTGAAATGGCATAATGCAAGGAAGAAATTACCATTAATTTATATGGAAAGATTTTTGAGCATTCCCGGACCCAAAAGTAGCCTACCCAGTCATACCAAATAACTCAGAAGACTTAAAATAACAATGATATAAGAAAATTAATTAAAATAATAACATTAATATATAGTAAGCAGGAATAATATCATATAAATATGGCTTATCTAAAGTAGTTCCCAGGGAAGAAGTTTAGTAGGTAGAGACATTCTTGATGCTTGGGGTGTCTCTGCCTCTAGTATGGCTGCTGTAAAAACCAATGCTTTGTGCTACTTTCTTCTCTTACTATATTTTATCATAAAAGTGAGAAACCTCTTCGGAATTCTTTTAGTTAGCAGAAACAGGTAAGACAAGTAATAATTAGGCCTTTTATAAAAAATGAAGTATCATAACTTAAACTTTCAAAAGGCATGGGATACCAACATTTACCTGATCCTTATTCAGTTCCACTTGAGGATATTGAGAGGATAGCATGAGATATTAATGGTGGTTAATGTTTAAGTGCTATGTGGCTGTTATCATGGCAGGTGCCTTACACTGAGTGATAGTAATCACTACAACAGTAACCCATTTGGCATAAATATGGGCCACTATTTTAAGTACTTTTCACATATTAAGTTACGCAATCTTCTTTTTGAAATATTTGTGATGTATAGACTATTGTCCTCATTTTAAAGATGAGAAAACTGAGGTACTGAAAGATTAAGTCACTGAAAGAAACACAGCTACTAAATGGCAGAGGAACTCCTTAGGTTGTCTGGGCTCAGTTTGTATACTGTTCACCTATGCTGCCTCATTTAGTCCTGCAGCAAACTGTAAGTACTATTGTTTTTCTCCTTTTCCAGATTTGGACACAAAAGCAGAAATATGTGGTTAAAATCTCTGCTTTTGCACAGCTAGGAGGTTACAGAGCAGAATGTAAACACACGGGCCTCAGATTCTAGTGAGTAGGGTCAGTCTAGCCCACAGCCCCAGGTAACTCATACCTCCAGGGCCAATTTCCTAATGTCTTCCCCATCCCTGTTCTTGCTCAGGTGTTCCTTAAGAGTGACCGTGTGGCCCGCATGGTACAGAGTGGAGGCTGCTCTGCCAATGATTCTCGGGAGGTCTTCAAGAAGCACATTGAGAAGAGGGTGCGCAGCCTGCCTGAGATTGATGGCCTCAGCAAGGAGACTGTGCTAAGCTCCTGGATGGCCAAGTTTGATGCCATCTACCGAGGGGAAGAGGACCCCAGGAAGCAGCAAGCCCGAATGACAGCCAGTGCGGCATCTGAGCTGATTCTGAGCAAAGAGCAGCTCTATGAAATGTTCCAGAATATTTTGGGGATCAAGAAGTTTGAACATCAACTCCTATACAATGCTTGCCAGGTAAGATGCCTATTATGTGGCCCAGAGCTGTGAGTACACAGAGCCATATTATGACCTCTGTGTGCCCTGCAGCACTGTTGCTTCATGGGCTATTTCTTGATTTTAAAAAAATTATATTTTATAACTGCATAGATAAAATTTGAATGTATTATAGGTTGGAATATATTCATGTTATCTTCTGATTTTAAAGGACATTAAAACATTTTTTATGGGCCTTTGAAAGTCTCATGGACCCTAAGCATTATGCTTATTGTGTCAAAATGAGTACATCAGCCCTGTGTTGAAAGTGCTAAAAGATCAAAATAGTGATTTTCTAATTAATTAACTTGAAAAAGAATAAAAATAGTTAAAATTTTAAAAATTTTTCTAAAAATTGTTTTGGTTTTAAAATTGTTGGTGCTTACCAATTGAGGGGCTTGTTCTTCTTTACTTAGGGAGATAGCTAGACTTAATACCTGGTCATCATTAAAATAGAATGTTACCAGGAGGTCTGAATCTATTATACCCATGTATTAGTCACATGAATATTCATGTGGTTCTGAAGGAGTTAACTGAGGCTCGACTTTGACCCATCCCAAAGTGAGCCTATATTTTCACTGGATCTGGGGTTGGAGAATGAGTTACTCTAGATCTTCATTTCCTGCCTAATCTTTCCATTATATCCATTCATTCAACAGATATTGAATGCCTGCTTTATAGTCTCCAAATTTTAGTGTCACTTGGGAGCATTTTTTAAATAGATGTTAGAACCTCCAACCTTAGCAGTTCTGCTCCTCATTCTCAGGGTAGTACCCAGAAATCTGCATTTTGAAGCAGATTCTGCCTTTCTGGTAATTTTGCTGCTCTCCCCCATCTAAGAACCTTTAGCAAGACTCAGCTGTGTCCTAGTTCGAATGGACCAATTCTGCCCCCAAGGTAGGTAAAATGAAGTTTAAACAGAGACACTATAGTGTATTTGCTAAGTTTCCTTTCTCAGAATCACAGACCTATGTAAATCTTAATATGAACCCTAGCTACCTTGATTGACTTGTGGATTTAGTGACCTCCCCAAAAATGAGCTTAGGATGAAGGAGTTAATGTATATAAAGCCTAGAGCAGCATGGGGTACTTTATAAATATATCATATTCTACTAGAAGAGGCACAATCAATAGACAGTATCCAAACAGTTCCACAGATTTTAACATGAGGACTACCGGATTTTGTTGGTTCTTTTCTTTTTGCCTCTGTGTTTCCTCCCTTGGTTGAAGGTACCAACATCTCTTACCTCGATGACTACAATACCTACCCAACTGGTAATCCTACTACACAATGCTAGAGAGGTCTTTTCATGACATAATTGGATTGTGCCTAAAACCTTCCAGTGGCATCACCTCACCCTTAGAATGACATCCCAGCCTTTCACTAAGACTTCAGTCCGTATATCAGTCTTCTCTGTTCTTGCCACTTTCCCCACATGTTTAACTTACTGGCCTTCTGTACATTTCACCAATATATCACATTGATTCTGAATCTTTGCATATGCCATTCTCTTGATTTAGAATGTTCTTTGCCAAGACCTTTGCATGACTGGCACACCTTAAGTTTCAGTTTCTCCAAAAAGTCTTCCAAAGCCACCTCATCTGAAGTTCTTCCTTGCCTCATATCTCGCCGTCTCTTATTATTCCATCCCCCATTATATTTTCATCACAATCTTTATGACTGTTTTTCATTTCTTGTTCATTTATTTTATGTTTATAATCTACCTTACCCTCCCTACCCATCCTTCACCAGAATACCATCTTCTTGAGTATAACATTCATCCCTGCCATATTTACTAGTATTCCCAGTACATGATACATTTCTTGCCATATAGTGGGTACTCAGTAGTATGTATTGAATTGATAAATGTGTGATGGCAGATTATTTTAACGGGTAGATGAGGGCTTGTTGTCAGTCATTATCTCAAACTCAGAACTCGCTGGATGTTTTAATAGTAGGAATCTGTTCAGTATTTTACATTATATTCATTACATTCAAAAACACTCCTTGACATACTGCTTTCTTCTCAGCCAACTTCAATTCAAAACACAGAGTAACCTCTATTGCAACAACTTATACTACATATTTTTTGTTCTTTATCAGCATCAACATCAGTTGACTGAATCCATTCAATGCTATTTCTGATCTCAGTGTTTTTGAACTTGTTAAATAGGGTTAAGTGGTGAGACCATATTTTACTCTTTTTTCCTAGAAAACAATTAATTCAACCCTCTTTTTAATATCTTTTTCATGAGTTTGAAAAAAATACAATATCCTCTTTCAAAGAGTAATGATTGTCCCCTTAGTTAAAAGAAATAGGGAAGATATGTAAAGTATTTCTTGGAAGAAGGATACTCTATACTCATGCCTAAGTCTAGTAATTGCTTCAGAAGTTCATATCAGTAGAAATCAGAACATAGAACATATACTGATAATTCAAAGGAAAATACAAACTCTGACTGTGTTATTATCTTTGTATGTTCCATGTTGTTAGTAATCTGAGTTACATAAGTATATTGGCAAACAATAAAGTATCTTTCTATTTTAAAAGAAAGATACTATCGGTAAAATAATACATCAAAAATGTTATAGGAATGGATGTTTTCAAGACTCACTGTTGAAATAATTTATTACTTTAACCTTTCCATAATCTGTTAATTTGCAACAGAACATCTTTTCAATGGGTAAATCTTTTGACCTAGCTTCTCTACCTCTAGCTACTTGTTATAAGTAACTATAGTCAGGGATGTGACAAAACATCATGTCCAAATATGTTCATGTAGCATTTTACATGTCAGTGAAAAAATGGAAGCAACCTTAATTCCCAACAGCAGATTAAATATAGATTTTGTTTTACCTATAGGAAAAAAACACACTTCAGCCAATAAAATAGTTGTTGAAGAAGAAAGCTTAAGATATGGGAAAATGTTCATTAGGTATTTTAAATAGAAAATCAGTCTACGAAATAGAGAATAAAGGCATAATACCATTTTATAGGAAAAGTACTGCATGGGCAAAACCTAAAATGTTAACTGTGCTTATATCTAGGAGGTTGCTTTATGCTTGATTTTTATGCTTTTCATTTGTGCTTTTCTTTGCTTCTAAATTTCCTGCTCTAAGTAGATAGTTATTTTGTAAATATAAACAAATATCAACAAAGAAAACATGGGATAAGAAAAAAACTTACTTCTGCATTTTTTCTAGACTTTAGTCACTAACATACTGCTGTCTTCATGATTATTTGCCATTTCCGAGTAACACCTATGTATTTACTTACTATTTCTAAATAAACCAAACCCCAACTCGCTTTTTAAATCCATTTTTAGTTTACTGTGAAATAGCAATTTGGATTTACTTATTTATGAAAAAATAACGTGTGTACAATTAATAATAGCCAAGTTGTGGAAACAGCCTAAATGACCAAATACAGATGAATGGATCAGGAAGATGTGGTATATATGCAAAGTGGAATACTACTCGCTATCAAGAACAGTTAACTCTTGCCATTTGTGGCTACATGAATGGACCTGGAAGGTGTTATATTGAGTAACATAAATCAGAAGGAGAAAGACGAATACCAGATGGGGTCACTTATATGTGGAATAGAAAGAGAACAAAGAAATAAAGCCAAACTAAGAACTAACCCTAGAAAACTGACTATAAAACTGAGCTACTAGAGGAGGGAGGAAAGGGATAAGGATGAGAGCAAGGCAGAGAGGGAGCAAGGCAGAGGGGGGAGATCCTATAACTTCTACTATACAAACAACAATGTAAACCAAAGTTATTACAATAAAAAGTTACCTGATTAAATCACTATTTCTTTAAAAAATAATAATATACATTAAAGCCAAACATAGCCATTAAGGTGGAAATTCTTTATCTCTCTGTTGTCTGATATCTCTCATGACCAGTGATGTGACAGGCACAGCTGGGAGACCAGTGCCCTGACGTACTGAGCGTGGTGGAAAAGAACTGTCTGACGCCCACCCTGAGATTAGTCCCAGGCTGACCAGAGCATCTTTCTGACCAAGTCTGTGCTGCTTTGCCCTATAGTCAGCTTTCAGAAATTATAGATATGCTCATTTACTTTCTCATAGCTTACCCTCAGTGCCACAGAACACTACCATCTCATAGGAGCAAAGCTGCAGAAGTGAAAATCATGCTGCTCTCATTCTCACCCTGCTTGAACTCTTTCTTGTTTTGCTTTGTATTTTCTTGACCTTCTCTTCATGAGAAAGAGCAATTCCTGGATTCTTTCAAAGCCAGAAACACACATAATATTTTCTTATGCATATTGCATCCTGGGGGAAGTTGTAATCTGATTCTGCTTTCTGAAGGTTCCTATGATCTCTTTTTATGAGGTTCTGCCAGTAACTTTAGTTTTCATCTCAAACAAGATATGAAGTTTATCAAAAAGTGATTATATCAGTTGTCTGTTATAACATGAATTGTGTCTACATTTTTAAAGAAAAGGAATGAGGTTTAACAAGATGTCTTCATATTTGCACATAGAATTTTCATCATCTATTCTGTTTGAGAATGCATGGGTCTGTTTCATAGAAGAGTTTGCTCATACTGAATGTAATAAGCTCTGTAAAATAATCAGAAACTTATTACCAAATTGGTGGTGGTATTATTTTCCTAGACTCTTGTGCGGAAGCAGTCAATTATGTAGCTATTGGAGCATTGGCTCCAACAAAGTAGGATAACCTCTTTGAGAATAGGTTATATCCCCTTAGAAATAAGGCTAAGACAGACTTGCTTTCTATCTTCATAGAATGCAAAGATAATGATGACAGTGATGTTGTGGTATTTAAAAAGTTTTAAAAATGCAAAGCACCATTCCCCTTCTTTCCCTTTAGTGGCCTCCAGATCTGGAGTTGAACTGATCTCTTCAACCAAGTGTCTGATACTTCCTGTCCCTCTGCTTAATTTTATGAGTTATCCTTTATTGCCTCCTTCTAAAAGGTGGGGACACTTT